ACAAGCAGGTCTTCGTACAAAAAAGGTTGAGAACCACTGGATTAGATGACCTCGTGAGGTCCCTTTCAGTCCTACTTTCCTATGATCCTATACCAGAGGTTGGAGTTACAAACAAGTCAGTCAAGGGATTAGTGACCATTGTGGCCATTATTCTGAGTGCTCCAGTTTCCATTTATATGAAGGCAGACACTTGTCCATACCCTGGCTGGAGAGGGGAAGGTCCAACAGGATTTGCCAATGTGGTCTAACAGGCAGCCAGACTAAAACCACTGGGTGATATGAGCCAGGCAGCTTGCAGCATCCCAGTGGAAGAAGACTCCAATAGCAGGAGCTGAGAGGGAAGCAGGCATGGTTTGTAAAGTTCTTGTATCTCAGTCACCTCAGGTGTTCAGGGCAAAAGAGCAAAGCAGAAGGGAGGGATGCTGCACACACAGGCTCGGGGCTATCACATCATCTGCAGTCTTCCCGAACAAGGCCTTGGCAAACAGATCGCACCAGGTCTGAAAGCTAAGAACCTGAGGGCTCTAACCCCCGTGCAGACATGGGTTTCCTCTGAGGCTCTGGGTACCTCACTTGACTTCCCATGTGCAGCAAGAGGCTCAGCTCCTGCTTTCTCTCTCTGAAAGGAGGACACGAAGGGTGGCACTGGGAACACTCTTTGAAGATGAAGGGGGATGAGTATGGAGGTTACAGTAAGGTCAAACAGGGGGCCTGGCTCCACCATGCAATAATGTGAGAGTAGCAAAATCACCTGTTCTCGAACCAGAGCCCTGCCCGTTGGTCTGCTTACCAGTGACAGTCCTGCTTGGGTCTTCACTGGAGGGGAGAGCTATCTACTGAGACAGGAGCATCTGGAAGCCCCTAATGTGCTGCCTGCTAATATTGATTGTGGTTCGTAGGTAATTAGGAAGCATTAGGCTTTTTATCTCTCACCATTTAGATTTCCAAATAGAGCCTATTAAAATTGATTCAATTAAAAGAAGAGTGAGAGAGAGGTAGTGAGCTGCTTCCTCCTCTCTACTCTGGCCCTCCCCCCAAAGCAGCAGCTACATGCCCCCTCCAAGGAGCACTGGCAGAAGCAAGGGAATATCTTGCCAGAGATGTGTTGCTCTTCTCCATGTGCTGGAGTGACCCCGTGTACAGACTGACCACACAGATGATGCAAGTCAGCTACAGCACTGCCGGCACGAAGAACCCCAAGTTTACTTCAAACCCCCAGCTTGGCTCCTTCCATGTCTCTCCTGAATACCCCCCACCCCGATGCTAATTGCAACATGTTTTTATTTTTCTATTGCCATCGTCTTCCCAAACTTTACATCCTCACTAATGAGCCCTCATGCTCTGTCAAGTCACTGCATTTTCTTGAGCTCTGGCTCAGTGATTTACCCCTCTGTTTTCTTTCTGCACTTCTAAACCAATATGGCAATAATGCCCCAGCTTCATTAGGTTGGACAGATTTCTTGTTCACCCTCAAAACGCTGCCACTAAGACCCTGCCAAAACAAGGAGCTTAGCACCAGCTCAGTGACATTTATTAGAAAACGAACAGAGCTATGCAGTACCAGTAGTACCAGTAATCCACCAAGGGGCCCAGATCCAGAGCCATTGACCAGCACCAGGTTTTGGCCTGGCATAAGGGAACCTCTCCTCATTCTGTTCAAATGCTCTGTGGTGCACTTGCTTCTCCTACATGCTAGGGTCACCAGAACACAAATGCTTCACACCAGGGTGCATTTCATCCACAGCCAGAATCTGCTGGGTCTGAAAGAAACAAAATGTGAGTCTTAAGCTTAAATGCAAGACTGGGACCAAAAAACTAAACTGGAGTAAAACTGACAGGAACTGCCACATGAGTTCAGAGGATGAATACTGTGCATGCTCTGCCTGTAGACTTTCAGCAGTGCTAACACTGGTAACTCTAAGGCAATGTGTCTCAACCCATGGGTCACGACCCAAAAGTGGGTTGCAGGAATATATGAAAGGGTTGCAAGCACTTTAAAAATGGATCAACAAATTTTAAAAATGGATTCTCCTTTAAAGGAGAAAAAATGTGGGAATCTGTAGGTTCTCTCTTGCAGGCCCCCATGCCCCACACACCCAACCCCTGCCCCACACACTGCGGGGGCTGAGACTTGGAGGCAGTGGGTTGGGCGTGAGGGGTACAGGCAGGGCCTAGGGGTGGTTTTCTACTTAAACTATTTACTGGGTCAGGACTGGCTTGATGTTTATAAATGGGTCCTGGTACAAAAAAAGGTTGAGAACCACTGCTCTAGAGTACGTACTTTTCAATGTCAGGTGTTCTCTCCCACCGATACTTCTTTCCCTCCAAACAAGCTAAGGATAATCAAAGGTCTTGTGCTGTAATGCCAGTCCCAAAAGGAGACCTGGCCCCTGACAATGCCACCGGTTTAAACACATGGACAATGTTTCCAATTAAACAGTGACCCTTCTCCATAAGCATATCTCCCTAAGAAGCCTCCTCACTACTCAGGGTCCTGGCTCCAGTATAGTTTGTCAGACTGCCAGTTTTCTGGACTTCAGTTTTGGTGAGTTTTCTTTTAATAAAAACAAAGAGAAAACAAACAAAACATTGACCAAATCACACTCATTAGCCTGAAGGAAATGGAGGTATCTGCTACAGTTGCACTCACGTGCTGGCAGTGGCAACCTGGAAGGCTGCAGCCAGCAGTGAAGGCTCTCTCAGAATATGATAGCTTCAGTCTGAGCAGAGCCTAAGTGAGGCATCTGCAGAGGCAGGCTCCAGACATGAGGAAGGAATGGAATCAGAAGTCAACTGGGAAGTCCCCCAAGAACCCAGCTGAATCATGTTGATAAACTGAAGGCACCTGAGATTCGAAAGCTGCTGGAAAAGATGACAGCAACCGAAAATATTGATCATTTATGTTATCACTGAGCTGGCCTGCCCAACACTATATGCCTCTCTTCGACCTCTGACTCTGCTGCTAAAGAAAGCAAGTTCCAGGATAGGGAACAATACAGCCCTCCTCCAGAGGGGCAGAGAGAGGACAAGCTCCTTTCACCCCACTCCTGTGGGTCTCTGCAAGATGGAAGCACTGTACTAGCACTGGCTTGAGTGTGATTGCTACTGCCTCCAACACGAACGTACAGACATCTGGGACAGGAAACACTAACTGTGAGAAAGAACCCTGCAACCTCTCTGCTGCACACTTGTATTTCTTCTTTCTGTTTTTCTTAGCTGAAAAAAAGAAGTACCGCCATCAATGGAGGAAACTCCTCTGGGATGTTTTCTTATGCATGTATAGAAAAAGTGTCAATCTGCAAAATTCTAAGCACCTTTTCCGGAAGAACAATTACAATGGGTTCAGACCCTAATCACCATCATTCTGCACACTGAGCTTGTGGGTAACTGGGCTGAAAAACTGGGAGGAGAAAAGCAGCAATGGCAATAGATTTAACAGGTGAATTACTGATTCCTTAATCCCCATAACAGGAAACACTGGACACAAGTTGTTGGTTTTTTTAATTTAGATTACACTAATCCGCTCCACTTCCATCTCTCTCCAACACATGCAAAGTCACACTCTCATTTCCATGGCACGATTGTGGCCACTGATTATCTGTCTGATTAGACATCAGTCAGGTGTATTAAGAGTGAAAACCAAAGGATCTTAATAATCTCCAGAGTCATTTTTGCAAAGGAAGTACAGATCCTTTTTGACACTGATGGGGTGGCATTTAACTGCCAAATGTTCAAAATTCCTCCTTGCCTTGGAAAACAAAGCATAGGATAGACATAAATAGCTTTACGGCTTGCAAAGATGAGCATCCTGTACCTGAGTTCTGAATGATACATGTCTAATGGGCTTTTGGAATCACAGTCCCTCACTCGCTACCGTCCTCGTGGCTTTGACACTAGGCACCAATATCACTTCTCCACTGGAGAGACTGAAGGTTAGAGCCTGACAGAATTAGCAACCCAGCTCTTATTTATCCAGAAATTCTATTTTGGGCTTATATCCTTGTTCCTAAGTTGCATTCAACACAGAAATGCATTTATTTTGGAAATTTAAGAAGAGATACCCACTGGAAGTTTCTAACAAGCACCTCATGCAGAAGGTTGACATGGCATGCTACAGCACTGCACAAGCCTCAGGCTGGCTCCCTGTGTCAGGGGAACTTCCTTAGTCTCACCAGAAGCAATTACAACTCAATTGGCTTCTATGGGTTTGTAGCTGCTTATGCTAGCAGTGAGTTTGGCCCAAGTGCCTGCTTTATTAGATACAAGAGAAGTTCAGGTGGGAGACATGAACAAGGCTAACTTAAAAAAAAAACTGTGCAGGCAGAAGCTTCTCTCTACTTTTCAGTTTTCACTTCTTTATCATTAAGATTGAAAACACAGAAGAAGGCCATTCCTGGGAGCAGCTGCTGGAGACCCTGCCCACGGTTATCTGGGAGAGCACCAGGCTGTTTCACTGCAGGCTTTACGCATGAGAAACATCCACTGAAAACCACACCACCTTCCTCTCAAGCACTTTGGTCCCCATTAACACCAGCTTAAGCCAAATACCCTGGCACCATTAGTACCATTGGTCATTTTAGTGTCACTCGCTTAGACTGACACTTCCTACTTAGGTCACAGCTGGAGAAATGGCACAGCCATCAGGCCTGCTGACCAGTAGAAAACCTCACAGTACAAGTTATCCCTTCACCCAGTTATGCCCCGCGTCCATGAACGATGCATGCCCCCAGCAAGTGGGGGGTACGGCAGTGGCAGGAGCATGACAGCAGTGGCAGAAGCGGGAGAGCTCTCGCAGACACCACTGACAGCGCTGGTGGGGGAGGGTGGAGGAGGGTGGCGAGCACTGACCAAGGGTTGGCGACCACCCGCAGACACCGCCAGGATCGTCGGTGGTGGCCAGCAGGGATCGTGGACCGCCCACAGACACTGCCGACACTGTCTTTTGTAGGGGATGCACCACCACACTCAGGGGGTGCACATAGGTGCATGTCACCCCTGCCCATGTGGCCGGATCCCCGTTCCACTGCGGTTACTGAATTCTAACCTGGACGCAGCTGATGCACTCACCAACCTAACTGGGCAGTTTGACTTGGACTTAACTCAGGAGCTGGAGCACACTCCAGGGTGCTGCCAGCCTGGCAGGTGGGTGTCACCTGTATCAGCCACAGACGGGTAAAGCAGTCTGCTAGGTAAGAAAACCAACAGGAAAATCCAAGTCCTGCAACTGAGGCTTGTTTAAGCTGGCTTGGCTGCCCTGGCCAGTTAGGTGGCCTTAATACCACACCCCAGTGCAGGAGGTTATAGCCCCCAGGACATGGAAGGATTTCCAGACAGCCGGGAAGGGCAGCATAAGCTATGCAAGGGCACGAGATACAACCTGGGCAGGGAGCTGGGGGGGACAGCAGTGCGCCAGGCCTGGGAGAGGGAAAGGCAAGGGAGGGAGACGCTGAGGGGTCTACACCGGGGTGCCCTAGGAGGGGAAAGGATGACAGTACAGACTGAAGGCAACGTGCGAGGAAACAACAGCCTGACACCAAGGTAGGGAAAGTTTATGGCAGCCACGGGGGGCCAAGCCACCGGGGGCCAGGCGGGCTGTGCTGGCAAACGTTTGCACTCTCCCCGGCGCTGGGGCCGGGGGTGCGCACCTGCAGCCGCTGCCGGAGCGCGGGCCGGGCCGGGCCGGGCCGGGGGCGGGCGA